TGGGCTGATGGCTCAGAGCCTGGAGCCTGTTTCCGATTCTGTGTCTCCCTCTCTCTCTGCCCCTCCCCCGTTCATGCTCTGTCTCTCTCTGTCCCAAAAATAAATAAAAAACATTGAAAATAAATTAAAAAAAAAAAATTCTAGTCAGTGATTTTTCATGCTTAATAGTGTTCGGTAACTTTGTACCTAATTTTTTTAATTATTAAAAATGGCTAAAGCATTTCTAACAGTTGTATGTGGAACTTCTGTATTTTATTCGTGCATTCGTTCATGTGGGTGCTGTGTACTTGACAGTGGTACATGACAAGGTAGGGTTCCCTAAGCCCCTCCCCCTTCTTTAAGGGGTCTGGGATGGAAACCGTGCGGAGGTCAGGAAATTCTCAGTGTGTTGGGGGATGAGTTGGGGGCAGGACTCCCTAGCAGCAGAGGGCCTCTCTCTTCCTCTTGTGCCCTTGCTGGGGCTTGTGGTCCAGGGGGCTCTTACTCTTTGGAGGCCATGTGGACCATAAGATCTACCACTCAGTTGCTGTGGTCAAATTCATTGTCATACCAGGAAAGGAGCTTGACACAGTGGTCCTTGAGAGCAATGCCAGCCCCAGCATCAAAGGTGGAAGAGTGGGTGTTACTGTTAAAGTCATAGGAGACAACCTGGTCCTCACTGGAGCCCTGGATGCCCTTGAGGGGGCCCCCAATGGCCTGCTTCACCACCTTCTTGATGTCATTGTATTTGGCAGCTTTCTCCAGGTGGCATTAGATCCATAACTGACATGTTGGCAGCGGGCACATGGAAGGCCATGCCAAATGAGTTTCCCATTCAGCTCAGGGTCGACCTTGCCTATAGCCTTGGTGGTACCAGAAGATGCAGGGATGATGTTCTGAGCAGCCCCTCAGCCATCACACCACAGCTTCCCAGAGGGGCCGTCAGTGGTCTTCTGGTTGGCAGTGATGTCATGGACTGTGGTCATAAGTCCTTCCACAGTGCCAGAGTTGTCATGGATGGCCTTGGCCAGAGGGACTAAGCAGTTGGTGGTGCAGGACGCGTTGCTGACAAGCTTGAGGGAGTTGTTGTACTTCTCGTGGTTCACGCCCATCACAAACATGAGGACATCAGTAAAAGAGGCAGAGATGATGACCCTCTCAGTTCCACCCTTCACGTTAGCCCCAGTCTTCTCCATGGTGGTGAACATACCACTGGACTCCACAGGGGAGTCGGCACCAGCGTCTCCCCATTTGATGTTGGCAGGATCTCGCTCCTGGAAGATGGAGATGGGCTTTCCATTGATGACAGGTTTCCTGTTCTTAGCGCTGACTGTGCATTGAATTTGCTACGGGTGGAATCATAGTGGAACATGTAGACCTTCTCCGTTGTGTCTCGGGGATGCAGCGCTCACGGCGCAAGAAGTGGCCATGTGTCAAACAGGAGGGAGCAGAGAGCCAGAACTTTTACATCTTAAAATGTTATTTCAGGAATCCTTGAAAGAAACAAGTTGGTTCAGTACAGATCTTCCTCAGCTTACCGTGGGCTTATGTCCTGATAAGCCTGTCACATGGTGAAAATACTGTAATTTGAAAATGCATTTAATACACCTAACTTACTGAACACTGTGGCTTAGCCTGGCCTACCTTAAATGTGCTCGCAACGTTCATTATATTAGCCTACGGTTGGGCAGAATCACGTAACACAAAACCTATTTTATAATAAAGCGTTGACTAGTCTGTGTAGTGTATTGGAGACTGTGTTGAAAGTGACCCATGGAGCAGTCGTCTGGGTACAGATGCTAGTTGCCTTACTGGCGATTTACCCTCATCCTGTGGCTCCTGGGCGCTGCCGTTCACTGCCGTTCGCCACGAGAAAGCATAGGACTGCATGTTGGCTTGCTAGCTTGGGAAAAGACGCGAATTCAAAACTTGACGTATGGTTTTTATGGACCGCGTATTGCTTTTGCACCGTTGTAAAGTTGAAAATCGTAAGTTGAGGCCGTGTAAGTCCGGGAACGTCTGTATTTGAATCTGTGTCTGTTTTACTTTAGTAAGACTGACTTTCGTGGCTTCTCTTTCACAGATGATGACTTTGACCAGTTTGATAAGCCTGGTGCAGAGCGGTCGTGGAGAAGAAGAGCCGCGGACGAGGACTGGGACAGGTGCGGGACGGCGAGAACTTCCCTGCTCTGCCGCCGGGCCGTGCAGAGAGCCGTATTGACAGCGCTGTGCTGGCTGCCCGGTCCTCTTCTCCGAGTGGGCCTGTCCCTGCCGGGCCCAAGTGAGGGCGCGAGGGCCTTCTGGGGGTGGCAGGCTTTTTCCGGGCTCCTGTTCCCGGCCTGTTGTCTTTACCTCTTTCTGTGTTTTTACACAGTGATGGTGGTATTGATTTGATGGGCGCCCAGAGCTGTTATTGGAGAGATCGTATGCCAGAGTTCTTTCGTTCTATAGAGCCTTCCCAGTATTTGGCCAGACTTTAAAAGTTTTGCCAATTTAATATGTGTAAAATAGTATCTAGCTATAATTTGTATCTTTATTTCTTTGATTAGTAGCGAAGATGGAACTATCTTTACTAATACGCATACACCTGCACTAAAAGTATTTAAAATGCACATAGTAGTGATCAATGTCAGGTCTCTCTAGTGATTACTTCTGATGAGCAGCTCTGCTGGGAGAGGGGCGTGTACCGGGGGAAGTAGGTGGTGGGGCTTAGTCTGGGTGGCGGGTTCTCGAATGAGGATTCGCCTTTACACCTTTCTTAATGACTTAAAAACTGTGTTGGCAGTGTAAAAAATTACCTCATCGTTGGAGTCAGGAAGTTTAGTAATAAAGGTAAATAGGTCTGAATAAAGAACAGCAGTGATGTTCTGTAGTAAAAATCCTGATTGCCATTTGAAGACTGTGAGGCCCCAGAACTTTTACAGAATAATCTGCATTGAGAAGCGTACACTTTACGGACTTATGGCTTGCATTAAGGTGAGTATTCAGTGGCTCCCAGTCTGTAACGGATCACTTCGAGCCCACAGCAGAACCTCCTGGGAGAGAACCGCCCTACGGAAGCACTGATAAACTAGCTTTGTTCACAGGATGGTGGGGAGCTGAGGAAGATATAAAGGAGATTTTAATAGCTTACTTGCCATTTGGATGTTTTCTTCTGTCAGTTGTCTAGTCCTGTCTATATGTAGTTTTCTTGTGGCTTGTTTGTCTTTCCCTTACCGATTTAGGGATTGTTATACTTCCTGAAATTTATTTTTTGTACTTGGAGGTCCCTCTTCGCAGTCTGTGACACATGTTCCCTTAAACAGTAGCCTTCAAGTAGATTTTTATAAATAATATAATCAGCTGTATAATCTGTGTGTAAGCCTGTATGGCTTTTGTTTATTTATTAAAAACAATTTTTTTAATGTTATTGTTTATTTTTCAGAGAGAGACCGAGCATGAGTGGGGGAGGGGCAGAGAGAGAGAGAGAATGAATGAATGAATGAATGAATCTGAAGCAGGCTCCAGGCTCCGAGCTGTTGGTGTAGAACCTGACGTGGGGCTTGAACCCACGAATCGTGAGATCATGACCTGAGCCGGAGTTGGACGCTTAACCTACTGAGCCACCCAAGCGCCCGTATTTTTTAAATTAAAATATGAATACGGTATGCTTTGAAATCATTTTCAGACTTAGTTGCAAAAGTGACACAGACACTCTCACGAGCCCCCAGACTCACAGTTGCTTTCTGCCATGCCTGCTGTCGTGTGCGTCCTCTGCGCGCCCTCTCACAGAGCTGTCCTTCCTGCTGCGCCTCCAGCGGGCCGCTCGCCTCACCCGTGTGCTGCTGATGTACCTCAGCACGTGGATTTCCTTGTGTATTTCCTGAGAACAGGGACATTCACTTACTCATTTCCAAATCATGAAGTTAACAAACACGGACTTCTAATTCTTAATCTGTAGTGGTTATTCAGGTTTTGTTAGTTCTCCCCAAAATGGACTTTTATAGCCAAAAATGAGTTTTCTTTTTTACTGGTTCAAGTTTCAGTTCAGGATTGTACAGTGCATTTTGTCCTGTCTTTCATCTGGAGAATTATTTATCCTTGTCTTTTATGACTTTGACACTTTGGAAGAGGACGGGCTGTTTGTTTTATAGACTCACCCTCAAAATGGATTTGCAGGCATCTCCTCAGAACTAGATTTAGGTTGTGTATTTGTCAGGAACGCTCTTCGGCAGTGCCGTGGCCTTGCTGATGTCATCACTTTGAGGAGGTGTGTGATGCTGGTCAAGGTGCTTTCCACTCTTTGTCACCTACCCTGTATTCTGGTACATACCAGAAATTTTCCTATGAAAATTGTAAAGTGTTTTTTTTTTTTTTTTTTTTTTTTAATATTCACATTAGTGAACATACAGTGTGGTCTTCAATTTGTAAGATTTTCATTTTTTTTTTATAGTTAAGATCTATAATATGCCTGAAATTGATTAAATTGATTGATTTTTTTTAACTTACTGAGAATTCCAAAAATATGTGAAAATAGAATAGTATAGTCACCTAAGGTACCATCAGCCAGCTTCAACATTTATTGGTATAAAGCCAGTCTTGTTTTGTCTGTAATCTGCAGTCCACCTCAAATCACAGACATAAGTTCATCTGGAAATAATTTCAGATTGTATCTCTCTAAAAAGTAAAGGATTTATAAATACAATAGTATTTATAAATAACCACAAGAAAGTGATTTAAAAATTTTTTTTCTAATGTTTTATTTATTTTTGAGAGAGCGAGAACACGAGCAGGGAAGGGGCAGAGGGAGGGAGGGAGGACACAGAATCCAAAGCAGGCTCCAGGCTCTGAACTGTCAGCACAGAGCCCGATGTGGGGCTCCAGCTCGTGAACCAAGAGATCGTGACCTCAGCCGAAGTTGGACGCTTAACCGACTGAGCCACCCAGGCGTCCCGGAAGTGATGTTTTTAAAAATTCCCTTCATGTTATGTTCTATTACCGATTGTCTCCTATAAATATCAATGTGTCACATACGCACGCACGCACGCTGAGTGTGGACATGTGTCTGTATGCTCTTCTATAGTTTGAATTGAGTCCAGGGTGGATCCCTGTATTATAATTGACTGGTAGATCTTTTAAGTGTTGCTTCATCTGTGGGTTCTCACACATCTCGTTTTAGTCTCTACACCTTCGTGAAGAAACAAGGTGGTTTGTCTTGTAGAAGTTATGCTCTTGTTGATTGCATCCCCTGGAGTGTTTTTAGTGTGTCCTTCTTCTCGTGCATTTTCTGTGGATTAATAGATCCAGACGTCGATCAGATGATTCAGGTGAGAAAATGGGCAGAGCAGGATGGATAATCCAAGTGACTTCCGTGAACTGCCTGCCCCTGAGGTACTAAATAAGCACCTGATTCTTAACTTTTATTTGCCAGCTTTCAAAATAGTGGGCCAGGTCCTTAGCATCCCCCGAAGGGGAGTTTTGTTGTGGAATCATTTCCAGCTCATAGGTTGAAGTGCTGCGTGTGTATGTTAATCCGTTGCAGTGACTATTTTTATTAATATTTGAGTTGCTCCAGCGTCTGTCCAGTGGGAGTTTCAGTTGTCAAGATGTTAGCTGGCCTTCTGCTGCGAAGGGATTGGGTTGTGGCTCTGCCAGGACACAGGGCTTGAGTTTTCCTTGTTCTCCCTGGTGTGACTGGCGGCTGTCCCCGCGCTGTTTATGAACAGGCTCCTCTCCTCACTCGTTTTCAGTGCGTGTTTGCATACGGGGATTCTGCATCATGTGCGTTTCTTTGATGCTTTAAAAGCATAAAACAGCCTCTTCCATGTACTATGGATGATAGGAGGAGAAATTTGAAAGTTAAGGGGAAGAGTGAGTCGGAAATTGTCATGATCAGCTCTTGCTGCCGTGTTGCATTAGTGTTAAATATTTGGAAGGACGTGATGTCGTTGTTAAACCAACACCTGAAGCATTTAAGTCTTTTTCAAGGATGTGCTTGTATCAGTCTGTATCCGTGCAGGAGAAAGACCGCATTCTTGAGGCTTCAACTGGAGGTCATTTGATTGAAGGGGCTACTCACGGGAGAGGGTTAAAGAAGCAGTCAGAGTCCGCGAGGTGTGCGGGGAGTAGCAGCGGGCCTGAAGGGGAAGAGGGGGCACCCTAGAGCCCAGTGGGGGTTGCGGTGCTGGCAGCAGGCGGGACGGACTGTGCAGGTATGGGGGAGGGGCAGTCCCTCTCCTCCCGCTTTGTAATACTCCCTTGGGTCATCCCATGGCCCGAGGCCGGCCGGGAGCAAGTCCAGGAGAGCCTGCACGAGTCCTCCCGGAGAAACCTTCCAGTAAACGGAGGTGGCAGAGACCGGAGGAGGGTGGCCTGGAGAGAGGAGGCACGCAAAGACGAGGGGACTCAGTGCGCTGTTTGTCGTCACTCACTTCTCAGTTTGAAAGGCTGCAGCCATGTGGCTGACCACAAAATACTCGTTTCTTGAAAATGTCTTTCAGCGTACACATATTGCTTAGTTTTTGGTTTTGTTTCTAGGGTTTATTTAGTTTTGAGAGAGAGAGAGCGAGCGAGCGAGCCTGGGTGGGGGTGAGGCAGAGAGAGATGAGGACAGAGGATCCTGAAGCAGGCTCTGCGGGCAGCCCGACGCGGGGCTCGAACTCCCGAGCCGTGAGATCGTGACCTGAGCCGAAGTCGGACGCTTAACTGACTGAGCCCCCCACGTGCCCCACTCCTGTTTATGTTAAAAAGTGTACTTGCCCTTAGAGAGCTGATTGTCTCTAATCTTGGATAATAAACATAAGAATCTTGGGTGATGCTTGCTGAAAGCCAGAGGGAGTCTGGCAGTTGGAGGAAGGACCCTCCTCACCCAGCCCCGGCTCCGCTCCTTGGCCCGCGTAGCTGCGGTTGTTGGCAGGGGCCCAACTGCTCATCTCTTTGGTTTTTTTGTTTTTGTTATTATTGTCATGTTCTTGTCATCAAAGCTTAGGGTCTTGGTCTTTCCTTCTTGCCTTTGCATGAGGCCAAAAGAGAGACATTGGCTCCTTTGATGACCTTGAAGCGAACTCCAGGAATGTCACCGAGAGCCGGATCTTTGTGACCACATCCAGCAACTGGAACCACGTTGTCTTCCTTGATAAAATTCATCCAACTGACTTTGGGTACAAAGGCTGTGATTTTTTGGCCATTCGTGATCAGCTGGACGCGGGCACAGTTCCCGAGGGCAGAATTTGCCTGTTCGCCTTCCGCCTTTACTTTCCCAGCATATTTCTTTTGCACGGGAGGCATTTCCACAGGGTTGGCCTTCAGGGCTGTGCCCAAGTGGACCTCCTTGTTCTGTTGACCTTGCCACTCCCGATCTCGTCCTGGCAGTGGGAAGACTGACACTTGTCCATCCTGCCGGGTCCCCGGCCCCCCCGGCCCCAGCAAAAAAGTGCACTGTTCATCTCTTTGAACGGACTTGATTGGGCTAGGCACTCCCGCTAGGTCATTGTTGTTTTTGGTGATGGTGTAATTTTGGTAGTGCTTTATAGTGTATAAATTTCTTTCCTTTTGTGTACATCTTTTGTAAGGATCCAACTTGATGCCAGTAGAGAAATACATTGGAGGTACATTTACTTTTTGTGGGGGGTTTGTGTGCAGTAGTTAGGATTTGGACTCCAGAACTAGACCATCTCGGTTCACCTATTGATGTCGCCACTTCCTAGCGGGGTGACCTTGAGTTGATGATTTAGAACCTCCTTGTCTTTGTTTTTACATTAAAAAAAATGGGGGATGATATAAACATCTATGTAATGGGGTGGTTAAATCAACAAGAACACTAATACGTGTGAAACACTTAAATGGTTCCTGGCACATAATACACTGATTTCATGATTTCTTGAGCTATAATTTATGTCTGTTGTGGTTGTGTGGGCTTAATCCTTCTGTCTCCCATCCTGCTTTCTTATTTCATGGTGTTGTCTTTGTTAGTCACAGAAGCAACTATTTTCCATCCGTGTACGCTTCACTTATTTATAACTGTTAGTTTTCTTTTATCTTTTTTTAGAAAAATGCTTTTGTTTAGGAAAAATGGGTAGTCATCAAAGACTGATTTTTTTCTTTCCGTATACACCTCTTGTTAGCAGAAGGTAGGGGTAGTTTCTAGATTTTTGTTTGTATAATGAATTACCAATGCCTTTTTGTATTACGGTTTTAGGCGTTCTCAGGGTCCCCTAGGCTGACGGTGTCACCTTTCATTTTTGTCAGAGTGACAGCCTGGCGGGGGGCTTGTCCTCACAGGGGCGAGTGAATTGGTCATCTAGAATCAGTTCTCAGGTGCGGTTCTTGTTAGTATTGTGAATGGATCCCGTGTTTTCCTCTCCCGTGGAGGATGGCTGTACTGACTGTAACACGGAAGAAGCAGACGTCGTAGCTGAGAGGTGATAACGTGATTTGTGGAAATGTTGGAAGAAGTCCTGTGTGACTGTGTCATAGCTGTCTTATTCATACAGGTTCGTACAGGTCGGTGACAGAGTTACCCCACAGGTAAGCTCTTGTCCTGGATCTCATTGTCGAATGACTTTGGGCCACTTGTTTAATCTTGTCCTTGTTTTCTTTATCTATAATAGGAAGGTAAAGGATTTATACAGGGTAACCTAAGATAACAAAAAAGGTGCGTGAGTGAAAATGATTTCTCGAGTTGTTTCTAGTTCTAAAAGTGTGTAGAAACACATATTTCTGTGGTAACTCCTGTAGGCATTCCTGTATAGATCCTGGTGTTCTGCAAAGTAGCACACTGCAAGTAAACATGCTTTTTGGATACAGTAATGCTCAAAACCTGCAGACCTTACAGAAATTCGTAACCAGAATGCTTATAAAAGAGAGTAACAGCCCTGATCCCAATATTGCTGCATTCGCACCTAAGAAATGCAGTCTGATTTTCTCCTTCTAGGTGTTGTCCTTAAGAGGCATTTGTTCTTGAGACATTGGGTTCCCCAGAACCAAGAATGTAATTTAGCGGTAGCCATCTTCATCAACCAACCAACAGACAAAATACATAGCGGGAAATGTCTTTGGCTTTTTGATCTGGTAAAGGTTTCTGTTTTAATTGTGACATAATCTGCTTCTGATCACTTCAGAACATAAACCTGCTGACGGCACAATGTCACAGTACGGGCAGGACTCCCGTGTGGTGCATAGAGAACTCTTGTAGTTACTGTGATTTACTTGTGTGTTCTCGTCAGCATCGTCGTTTTGTTGCAGTTTGATGAGCCTCCAGTGGTCTCTCGGTGGTTTGGGTTGAGTTTTCCTAGTTGATGATGTTGGGCATCTTTTCTTACTTCGTCATAGGTTTTTTTAAGGCAGGGAAGGAAAGGCCTAGCTGTTACTATGGTTTCTTCCTTTACGGATTACTGACCAGGTCCGGAGAAGCGCAGACCTCCCACCGAACCAAACAGTGGCGGTCTTGAGCCTGTGAGAGCTGCCCCCTGTAGCAGAGCCTCCCACACGGAAAAGACCACCTGTTCCCCTGCGCCGGAAAATACATTTTTGTTATTAGTGAAGGGAAAGGAAAGCATAGCAAACTGCGTGGGTTGGTGCCCCAGCCCCAAAGTCCCGGCTACGACTCCCAGTGACCTGCAGACCTGTACGCTGCAGGGACAGCGCACTAACTGCCTGTTTTTTTTCTCCCCAGTGAACTTGAAGATGACTTACTTGGAGAAGATTTGCTGTCTGGCAAAAAGGTAAGAAGTTGAGGTCTTCCTGAAACCCGCCTGTAGGCGCTTCGTTGCACTCAGCATAGAGGAGTGTGTCTCCCGCGTGGGGTGCACATTCATGTGTTGGAATTTGAATTGCCTTTTTTTTTCTTCCTTAAATATTTGTTTAATTTTGAGAGAGAGAGAGAGAGAGAGAGAGAGAGAGAGAGAGAGAGACAAAGCACTAGCAGGGGGACGGCCAGAGAAAGAGAGACAAAGAATCGGAAGCAGGCTCCGAGCTGTCAGCAAAGAGCCCGACACGGGGCTCGAACCCACAGACCGTGAGATCATGACCTGAGCGAAAGTCGGACGCTCAACCGACTGAGCCACTTAGGCGCCCCTTGAATTATCTTTTAATTGCAGAGAGCTGACTGTTTAGTCTGTTAGTAAGTTCTCCAGTAACTATGCGAGAGGTCAGTCCTTTGTCACAAACGTTTTAGTTCTCACTCTGCCTGGGGCATCCAGCAGCTGTTGAGTTTGGGAAAGCAGCAGCATAAAACCACCATGTGCTCGTAAGAAAACTAATATCGGGAGGCTAACATTTTGCATTCCCCTTTGAAAAAATACCTGTTTGTTTATTTGAGAGAGAGAAAGTGTGAGTGGGGGAGGGGCAGAGAAGAGAGGGAGAGAGAGAACCCAAGCAGGCCCCACCCTGTCAGCGTGGAGCCAGATGTAGGGCTTGATCCCATGAACCGTGAGCTCAGACTTGAGCTGAAATCAAGAGTCCGATGCTCATCCAGCTGAGCCACCCGGGCGCCCCAATGCACTGCATTTCCTTTTTGAGAGTCTGCAGATACGGTTAAAGAGAGTCCTATTCAAATATGACACGCATTCAGGTAAATGAGACTGGAAGTCTAAAACCTAATACAGGTTTCTGTAAACCTTCTTGATCAAGTAAAAACTTTGCTATAATTATGTTTAATGTGTGTGTTTATAAGGTGTGTGTATCTGTATGTTGTGTATACGTATACATGTATGTTTATACTACTGCCATTGTATTTTGAACGTTATAAAATGTACATTAAAAATAGAGGGGCGCCTGGGTGGCTCAGTCTGTTAAGTGTCGGACTTAGGCTCAGGTCATGGTCTCGCGGTTTGTGAGTTCGAGCCTAGCATCAGGCTCTGTGCTGACAGCACGGAACCTGGAGCCTGCTTTCGATTCTGTGTCTCCCTCTCTCTTTGCTCTTACCCTACTCATGTTCCGTCTGTCTGTCTCTGTCACTCTGTCTGTCTCTCTCAAAAATAAGCATAAAAAAAAAAAGAAATTAAAATCCAAAGATTAAAGTGAAATACTACATTTTTTTTTTTTTTAACTTTCATTCATTTTTGAGAGAGAGAGAGAGAAAGACAGAACATGAGCCAGAGAGGGGCAGAGAGAGGAGACACAGACTCCGAAGTAGGTTCCAGGCTCCGAGCTGTCAGCACAGAGCCCAATGCGGGGCACGAACCCACAAACCGTGAGATCATGACCTGAGCTGAAGTCAGACGCTTAACTGAGCCACCCAGGCACCCCAGAGGTGCTAAATTTTTGAGAACTTGTTAACAGTTTAAAAACACTTGATGTTCTTACTAAATAAATATCAAGGTAGTTTTTTATGCTGTTTTTTTTTTTTTTTAAGTTTGTTTATTTTGAGAGCGAGCGCAAGTGGGGGAGGGGCAGAGATTGAGGAAAGAATCCCAAGCAGGCTCCACACTGACTACGCGGAGCCCTGATAAGGGGCTTGAACTCATCATGACCCAGGTCAAAGTCAGAAGCTTAATTGAGCCATCCAGGCGCCCCATGCTTAGTTTTTTAAAGTTTTAAGATTGTGGTGGTTTCTTACTGTCCACCGTTCTTACATGTAAGCTCATTATACTTTTAGGTGATAAAGTCACATGATTTACTATATCAGATCTGATTATAGTTTATTTTTATACTTATTTATGATACAGTTGATGAAGGTCTTGTTCTAGAAGAAAACACCAGTGCTGCCATTTTCTTGTAACGATGTTGCAGGATTAGCTTTTTTGCTAATACATGAATTAGTTGTAGGATTCTTTGAGGCCACTTTCCTTTCTCCTGTTTCCTGCTGCATCATTGGCCTACAAGTGGCCTGGCTTCAGTCTACCTCAACTTTCCTCCTTTCAGTGGCTCTCATCACCTGTAACTTTAAGTAAGAATTAATTTAGTTACCTCTAAATGCACATGATCCCTTGTAAGTAAATGGGGAAACATCGAAATACTGGAAGTGAAAAACCAGTGAGATTGCCCCTCGGCCCGTCCGTGTTTGAGGGTCTCAGGCTCTGGCCTCAGGGTGTGACTTGCAAGCCCGCCCTTCCTGGGTCATGGTCACAGAGGGAAAGTGCTACTGTTTTCTTTCTGACTCGGCGAATTCGCACAACTTTGAAGTGCTCTTACTGTACGTGGGAGTTCACTACCCTAACGTAAACACCTTTTTTTCCCTTTGTAATTACTAAAGATACTTTAGTGAACAACACCAATTGGATGTGAAAATATTTGAACACAGTAAAGTATTTTTTACGTGAAACCGGATCTCTGTCCTTGGGTAGCCTGAGCATTATTGTTCGCCCCGTGTTCCTATCAGGATGGCCACCAGCCCTTAAAGACTCTTTGGTGTCCGTTTGTCCCCATCTCATGAGACGTTTGGTCTGGTCGCATATCAGTAAAGGTGGAAAAGCACTATTTGGTTTGGATGGTAATGCTGACTATTCTGGGGATGTAGTCTCACTTTACTTTATTGCATTAGTTGATTTGTGTGACTCAGTCTCTTTTTTTTCTTTTTTTTTTTGATGTTTATTTTCGAGAGACGGAGATTGAGCGCATGCGCAAGGGAGGGGCAGAGAGAGAGGGAGACAGAGGATTGGAAATGGGCTCCACCCGAGCCCAGTGTGGGGCTCGAATTCCCAAACTGTGAGATCATGACCTGAGCCAAAGTCGGATGCTTAACCGACTGAGCCACCCAGGTGCCCCTTGGTCTCCTTTTTTTTTTTTTTTTAATTTTTTTATTTTAATGTTTGTTTATATTTGAGAGAGACAGAGTGTGAACAAGGGAGGGACAGAGAGAGGGAGGGAGACAGAATGTGAGGCAGGCTCCAAGCTCTGAGCTGTTAGCACAGAGCCTGACGCGGGGCTTGAACCCATGAACCGCGAGATCATGACCCAAGCCGAAGTCAGACGCTTCACTCACCGAGCCACCCAGGCGTCCCCCCTTCGGTCTCCTTTCTGATGGAACAGGAATGCGTGAGGGCGGCAGCGGGATGCCTTCTGTCTCAGCAGCAGGGCCCTTATCCACCTTGGCCAGTTTGGAAGTTTAATTTAGAGCAGTGTATGTACTCCTCTCTCTTTTTCTCCTCTCTTCTTTCCTAGCGGTGTACCTTGTAGGAATCAAAGAGCTCAAATTTTCAAAAAGAAATAATGAAAGAAATAGATCTCTAAGTCCCCATGACTGACATTTTGCCATATTTCTTATATCGTTTTTCCGTGTGTTTTAAAGTAGAATTTAAAAGTTATATATATGAAGATCCCTGCTTTTTATTTTACCATTGTATTGTTGGCATATCCCCCTTGTACTTAAACGTTTCTTGTTTTGTGATGGCTCCATAATGGTTTTGTTTGTGCACACTGTAGTATACATAGCCATTCCTACATTCGCTGAGGGCATTTCCAGCTCATTGCTAGGACTTCGAAAAGAACCCTGACTTTTTATGAGCGCTTGGAAGGACACGTAACAGGAGGAGGGCAGAGTGCGGTCTCCCGCCTGCATTTGTCGCCCTGATTCTGAGGTTTTCAGGTAAAGGCGGTTTTGCTTTATCGTTGCCCACTCCCCTTCCTGAATTATTTTGAAGTAAATCTCAGACATCATCGTGAGATAGATATACATATATATATATACATACATACTTTTATACATACATATATATATATATATATATGTGTATGTATAAAAGTGTATTTATTTTGAGAGAGAGAGAGAGGAACCCAAGCAAGGGCCTGCGCTCTCAGTGCCAAGCCCGGCAAGGGGCCTGTGGGATCGTGACCTGAGCTGAGAGCGAGAGTCGGATGCCTGACGGACGGAGCCACCCAGGCGCCCCTGTGATGATAGTTTAATGTACACGTACTGTGCTTTTGGGATTCTTTTCTTTGCACGGTTCCGTCCTGGAGAATTTCGGGCCCGACGGTGTGCGCGGTTCGGCCTCCTGTCTCGCGTCCCCCAGTTGCTTTCCGGCGCTGTTTTCTCAGCTGGGCAGCAGGTGCACGGGCACGCCTTTCGCTTTTCCGTCCCCTGGCTCTGCGATCACTTCTCCTTTAAACTCTTTGTCAGTGAGGTAGATGAGAAGTGATTTCTGGTTAGTTTACTTTGTATTTATTTGGTGTCTAGTGAGAAGGAATATCTTGTTGGGTGTGTAATCAGGAATTTATTGTTAGAGGTACGCTGGCCGCCTGCCACCGTCTCTCTCCCCCACGCCCCCGCCCCCAAGTCCCCACGAAATGTAGGGGGACGTAGCTTTGTCCGGGGAGAGGCTCCCGGGCTGGTGGGCCGGAGGGCTGCACAGAGTATGGTGACCGTGTCAGACCGACAGGGGCGGCCGAGGACGAGTTCATTGGTGTCCAGAAGGGAGGTTCGAGTCAAGTTTCAAATACAGGATAAAAACGAAAGGTCGGCCAGCTCCAGAATGAAGCAAGCTGGCGTGACCCGACTAGAGCTGTGAGAAGTTGGGGAAGTCTAGGTGCCAGTCGCCTGCCAGCCTGCGATGCCTGCTTCAGTTTCTGTTGTACCTCGGCAGCGGGTGCCAGACAGGTCGTCTCTGGTCGGCCGGTTCAGACCTTCTTCTACCTTCTGGAGAGTGCTGGAGCACGTTGTTTCTTTCATGGTTGTCTCCCCCCAGGAGAGGAGGGGCCTGCTGGTCACACGGATTTATTTCAGGAGCATTCCCAGCCGCTTTCTCTCACTTTCTGGGCCTGCGGGTGGGGAGGGGGGCTGCCCCCTTCCCCCCGCCCGCGGATCGCCCAGAGCGGAGTCCTCTAGTCACTCCACCCTTGTCTGACGGAGCGGTTTGTCCCAGTTCTTTGGGATGTAGTTGAAAAGCAGTTTTTGCCTCAGAGATGGAATCTAGGTCTCCACTTCTGCTCTGTCAGCAAAGTGGGTATTTGGTCCTTGTCTCCCGTGCACGGTACTTACCACATTCAGAGTCCACAGGTAAGATGTGGTTACCGTCAGGGCCGGCACAGCATATATTCCTTTTTGTTTGTTTGGTGAATTAATTATTGGTTCACTGAGTTTTGACAAGTACTTAAAATTTTAAAGAAACTCCAGGAAGCAGCCTCTTACAGAATGTCATTTGGCTTTCATTGAAATGTTAATTTTTAAAGACTGTCTGTGGCTTTATTTAATAATTTGGGCGGCCACATTTAGGCAGGCCTGGCTCATCTTCTTTAGTGGAGGACAGATTCTGTGGGCGACTAAGCAGAACTTGATCTTGGCTGTTAAACAGTCTGTTTCTTTTTCATACAGATCCACCCCTCCCTTCTTCAAGTAAACTACATGGCCTGTGTTAGTTCATTTTTACCTTGTTAGAATGTCAGCCATTAAGTAGAGTTCCTTGAGACCCGTAAGAACTATAAGGTTCATATTTTCTTGGCTTATGTCAAAAATATTAGAACGAGAGTGTACAGACAAGTTTGAGAAAGCTAGTTTTACAAGCTGTAAAATGTTAGGAAAAGACTGCTTGTTTCATCTTTAGAAAATCAAATCTTTTTTTTTTTTTTTTTTCTGTTTTTACCTTTTTTCATAACGTGTGTGTTGGAGGGGCTTCTTTTGGAGGGGGTGGTAATTTGTATATACCATGAAAGTAATTTGAATAGGGAAGGAAAGTGTGAAGGGACACTTCCTCCCCCTTCCCGCCGAAGCGTAAGATACTGGTGCGTATTTAAGGCAAAACCTGGAGTGTGCAAAGTTGAGCCTCTACCTGTGGGTGTGGTGAGTGCGCAGGCCTGTCAGGAGCAGGGGCGGGACCTGAGCCAGGCATGTCTGTTTTCACGTGTCACCTCTATTGGACGGACCAGTTTTATTTCCTTACCATTTCAGTTCGGTGATCCAGTTCTCTAAAATCTGCTTATTTCTGAAATTGCACCTTGTTTTTGTTTAAACAAAAACCTTCAGATTTTGGATACTAACAGTGTTAGATTTAGTCAAGGCTTCTTTTAAGTTTTTATTTTAACTTCCGTTAGTTAATACACAGCGTTGTGTCAGGTTCCCGTGTACTGTATGCTGATTGGCGCTTCCGCGCGTCCGCTGGTGCTTCTCAAAGTGCACTGCTTAGTCCCCGCCCCCTGTTCCCCCAGCCCCCCACCCGCAACCATCACTGTGTTCACTGTAGTTAAGGGTCTGTTTCTTGTCTCTCTTATTTTTTCCCTTTGTTTGGTGTGTTTCTTTTTCTTTCTTTCTTTTTTAAGTTTTTAAAAAGTTTTTATTTTGAGAGTGAGAGGGGTAGTGTAGAGAGAAGGAGAGACAGAATTCCAAGTAGGCTCCACACCGTCACCGCAGAGCCTGATGCGGGGCTCGAACTCACGAAACTTGAGATCATGACCAGGGCTGCGATCAAGAGTCAGACGCTTAACCGACTGTGCCACCCAGGCGCCCCTGTTTGTTTTGTTTCTTAAATTCCACATACGAGTGAAGTCGAATTCAGTCAAGTATTGCGGATACAGGGAAAACTATTCATAGGATACTACCAAAAGAGTCTCCCCTTTTCCTTTTTTGGTTAGATTTAGAATAAATGTGATCATTAGGCTTGTTGTTTCTTAAAACAAAAATTTCATTATTTTTGAGAGAGAGAAAGGGGCGGGGTGGGAGAGAGGACCCGAAGCAGGCTCTGTGATGACAGCAGAGAGCCTGATACGGGGCTCGAACTCACGGAGCGAGAGATCGTGACCTGGGCCCGAGCCGGATGCTGAACTGACCGAGCCCTGCCAGGCGGCCCAGCCTTGTTGTTTCTGCACTCACCTGACTCTGCACTTGAAATGTGTCTGGGGAGGCGGGTGTCCCATGTGTGGAGTTTCTCCACTGGTTCTATCCGAATGAGGTAACTTACTGAATGGCACGTGTTCTAGTAACAGGGTGAGAAATAATCCAGCCAATGTAATTTTGCACACTTGTAACCAGTCTTTTTATGGAAGTGGCATGCATTAATTAGATTTTTTGTTTTAATTAGAATCAGTCGGATTTGTCGGATGAAGAGCTGAATGATGATCTTTTACAGAGTGATAATGAAGATGAAGAAAATTTCAGGTATTCCATATTAGCTCATTAAAATTTTTCTGGAACTAAATTGCTAGTAACTGTAATTTATAATTATAATGGGATGTGATTGACAGTGTGATACTATATCATTGAACACAATTTTATTTTACACGGGATATTGATACAACATTGATGTGGAAGCCGTATATTTCTGTAAGTAGGTTTTTGGTCTTGTATTTGATGACCTGTGTCATTTTGTTGAACGCAGATTATGAGAGCTCGGGAAAGGTGTGTACTGAGTTCCTTTATTGGACGGGGCAGTGGCCTCACACCCTTGGTATTGTCGCTTGCGGTTTGATGTTGCTGCTTTTGTTTCTTTGTTAGACCATTTTTACTTATATGTGATCTGTTGACTAAGAATTGCCATTTTGAAAATTCCTTTGGACTGTACTTCAGACTGTAATTTGACTATGTGAGTGTAATTGTTCTAGTGAGTATAGTTACTTTAGTCGGTTTTGACTACATTAACAAAATACTATGAACTTGGTAGTTGATAAACAACAGAAATTTCTTTCTCGCGGTTCTGGGGGCTGGGAACTCCAAGGTTAAGGTACCAGCACGGTCAGTTTCTAGTTTCTGGTTCCCAGATGGCATCTTCTCTCTGTGTCCTCGCTTGGCGGAGGGTGAGGGAGCTCTTGGGATCCCCTCTGTAACAGCACTCACCCCTGTCGGGGGAGGGGGGGCTTCATCCTTTTGACCTGATCTCCTCCCCAAGGTCCCACCTCCAGGCACCATCACACTGGGGGGTGAGGATTCAGCAGATGAGTTTTGGGGGGACGTGAATATCCAGCCCCAGCAAGCATGGGCGTCTCTCTGTTGTTGACGCAGTTAAGCTCTGTTAGAAGAGTGGGAAGCGGCGTGTAGTATTCTCTGGTGGCGGAGCAGGGTTTTCGGTTTTATGAGAAGACCTATATTGGGAAAGCTTCGGGAGATCTCTCTGTCATGAACGTCGTTAACAGATACATGCCGCTGATTATCGAACTACAGATCTGTAACTGGTTTTCTAAAATGAAGCGGTTGCTTTTGGATAGCAGTGCAGTTTTCAGTTAGTTTATTCCACCACTTAAGTTTCCCAGGTCTGTTGTGTGACATCATCAACGTGTGTACACTCGGCTTTATCCGCAGATCTTGCCTCCTAAGTGTTTTGGCGCTTACTGTTTGGCGTACTGTGATTTAAGATGTTGAGTGTCATTTGTTTGCAGTTTTATTTTATTTTTTTGAGAGAGAGCGTGTGCAAGTGAGGGAGGGGCAGAGGGAGAGTGGGGAGAGAGAATCGCAAGCAGGCTCCACGCTCAGAACGGAGTCCGATGTGACCTGGTGCTTTATCGCTTAACTGACCGAGCTATCCCGCCACCCAGATTTTTTTTTTTTTTTGCAGTTTAAAAACCCTCTTTGTTATTTTCCCAATATTACAAACTGATTGTTTTTTTAATTGTGACTAGTACAGATTTTATTTATTGAACATTGACATGTATTTTCACACACATTTTTAATATTTTAATTTTTTAAATAATTTATAATTTACATAACAGAAAAAGAAAATTGTTCTTAAAATTCCATCTGTGATTCTTTCTTTCTTTCTTTCTTTCTTTCTTTCTTTCTTTCTTTCTTTCTTCTTTCTCTCCACCTTGTGTACCTTTTATTTTAAAATTTTTATTTTTTAAAATTTTAGTTAGCATACAGTGGGGTATTGGCTTCAGGAGTAGAATTCAGTAATTCATCACTTCCATATGACATCCAGTGCTCAGCACAATTCCCTCCCTGAGTACCTGTCATCGATCTAGCCCATCTCCCACCCAGCCCTCCCTCAAACCCTCAGTTTGTTCTCTATCGGTAAGTCTCTTGTGGTTTATTTCCTTCTCCTTGTTTTGTGTGTGTGTGTGTGTGTGTGTGTGTGTGTGTGTGTGTGTGTGTGATTTTTCTGTTTCTAGAGTAATACTGCCACTTTTACTTTGGAATCCTGGAAAACAGTGAGCATCCTTTTTACCCTGGAAGTTAGAATAAAATGTCGTCTGTTCGTTTTCAGTGCTAGAGTTTTGCCAGCCAGACTCGTATCCCCATCTGCTTGATCTGATTCTTTTGGGCAAAAAACGTGCGTCTGATGATAGTGCGGATGCCGTATGTGTTAGGGGATCGTGGCACAGGCTCAGTATGGCGCACTGAGCTCTGTTTCCAGTCGTGATTGGAGGAATGTGCATCTGCCCGTCACCGGGACAACTTTTCGCCAGTCGTGCTTGAAGTCTTTGTAACAGTTCGTTTATGGAGCAACTTAATTTTGAGCTTTACTCTGATTGGGCACCTTTCTTTCTGTTTTTGTTCTCTTTAGTTCTCAGGGTGTCACAATTAGTCTAAACACCACATCTGGCATGGTCACGTCATTTGAACTGTCTGACAACACTAATGACCAGTCCGGAGAACAGGAGTCTGAGTATGAACAAGGAGAGGACGAACTTGTTTATCACAAATCCGGGGGATCTGAACTGTACGCTCACGAGTACCCAGAGGAAGGACGCTATGAAGGCCATGGCGCTGAGCTGACGGAAGGCCACATGGAATATGTGGAGGAGCCGGAGGAGGGGCAGCTGTACAGTGACGAAGTGTTAGACATCGAGATCAATGAGCCCTTAGATGAATTCACAGTGAGTCTTTTTCCTTTGTGTGGCCGAAGATGACCTGGCTGCCTAGGCATGGGTTTCTAGACTGATTTGAAATCTATTTCCCTCCCTCGGGAGGGAGGGAAATTAGACCTTATTATCACTGTCTGCCAGTTTCTTTATCTGAGCTATGACAAAGTTTGTGTTGACAGCTTGTTTGGCTGGAGGTAATGCCCCTTTGTCATTCTGGAAGGCTGCACAGAATCGTGACCTTGAGGATTGCACCTTAAGGAAGAAAACAGCTTTGTGTGGTGGAGATACACTGTCAATTGTTGGAAGTACTTAATGCAGAGCTTTTATCCAGGCTTTAGACAAGATCTGATAAAGTCCTTCCAAGGTGAAAAGATTATTGACCTGCTAAAGACATCTTTAAGGTGCTAATATTCCAGAGTGATTGATGTCCTGTTCATTCATCCTTTTTTGTAACTGAGAACTGTCTAAACATGAATAAAGAGATTGGAGGTTAGTTTTGGAAATGTCACACGTAATTTGTTATCTGTAATCAGGAAGCAAAGATTGTGCTGATTTCTATTTCAGGAAGATGATTTTGATAAGTAGCTTTTTAAAAAGTTGAACTGTCAAGAAAGAAAAGGTACTCGTGAAAGATTGCTCGCTCATCTGTCTCAGTGATTCATACTTAAGAGATACTTGTTTTTAAAACTAATGCTTAATGAAAATCTATGTGGGAAGGACGCGATAGTCATCAGTAGAATCTTAAGGCTTTCGTGATACTGAAATTCCACTGAGAGGCCATGTCACTTGGGCTGCCGGGCAGGACCCGGTGGAGACGTGCACAGTTGGGGGTAACGGCGTTGCCTTATTCTCGTCATGTTCTTATTCAGCGGAAGCTTGCTTTTGAGAAAAAAATTTCAAAATCAGAATCTTGGTTATTGGTCATACGTACATATAAACGCGAGTAATTTTGAAAAGGATTGTTTATGTGGAACCGCAGGGTATTTAGTCCTAATCATGATTGTGTTTATATATCTCAGTAGTTATTATTAAGATCTGATTCTTTTTGAATGCTTTCTCTTAATGGGAACATGTTTGTAGTTTTGGTAAATCAAAGCGTGTAAAAGGCATCCTGGGTGCTTGTTCTTTTGATAACGGTAATGGTTTGGCTTAGTAAGAAGTCTTCACTGTGTGGACAGGTGCTGTCTGGCTTACCGGTGTGTTTGTGGACTGTCTGAAGTTGGGGTACTGTACATTTAAAATGTTTCTTAAAAATTAAGCCAAGATCTTTTAAAAATGTAGCCGGTTATTCGCTTGGTTAGAGCGTTTTATTATCTCTGCTGTTTGTCGGCAAGATAAGGTGATTGGGTAATCATATGTGAGTCCTTTTCCCTTGTAAATTCAACAGCTCAGCAAATCTCCACTGATGTCCGGGCACTGGGGGCACACGTTTTGCTAGAATACGAGACATGAGGCATGGCCCCTGCCTTCTGTGAACTTAGAACTTGGCGGAACAGATCAGTGTGGAAGGTGCTCGACAGCACAGCTGTGCCTGGCCGCGTAGGAGGGATTTCTCACTGTGGCCTCCTGGCACAATTTGTCGTGAAGAGAATTCTCACACGTGAGGACTTTCCCTCTCTTTTGTTGCATTGTCAAACTAGACCTGCATTTAGGCCTCTGGTTGTATAAACTCCGGCTTGGTTATCCAACGTCTTGTGACCTATGAGTCTGGTCTCAAGAAGAAAAACAATGTGGCAACTCAAGATTCAAACCAAAAGAATCACGAACAGTTTTGCTTAGAGTTTCTGAAAGTGTCCTAACATTTTCACAGGGAGCCGTACGCCTTAACGGTCGAAGGACCTAGATGGCCTTGAACCGGGGCGTGCTGCTCCTGCTCTCCTCCCACTCTGCCGCGGAGGGGGCCGCTCCCTGGCTTCCCAGGCCTTTGGTGGTGCACAGTGAATTCATTATTCATGATTAGATGAACTAATGCAGGAGTAGACTGCGTACCTGTGTGTCCCAGTAGCATTTTAGTTGATGAAAGGGTTTATTTCGCTGTGGCCTGTGTCCTGGTTAGGATTTGTTAACTTGTTTTCTCAAGCTAGACTCGAACTCTGTGACATGCAGACCATGAGCACATTTGGTCTTTTTGGGCTCACTCTTAAAATCACACGGAAGGACTAACTGGGAGTGGAATCGCAAAGCCACAGAATTTTACAGTTGGGAGGGACACTTTTACTTATGAAGAAACTTGAGGTCCACGTTTAAAAGTTGGTAGAACAATCCTGGTTTTCTTTCCTGTTATACCCAATAGTTAAGACGTTCCTTAGGTTTTTTTTTTGTTGTTTTTTTTTTAAATGTTTACTTATTTCTGAGACAGAGAGAGAGCATGAGTGGAGGAGGGGCAGAGACAGAGGGAGACACAGAATCTGAAGCAGCTCCAGGCTCCGAGCTGTCAGCACAGAGCCTGACGTGGGGCTCGAACCCATAGACTGCGAGATCATGACCTGAGCTGAAGTCGGACGCTCAACCGACTGAGCGACCCAGGCGCCCCCTTTTTTTATTTTTATTTTTTTAATTTTTATTTTTTTAATGTTTATTTCTGAGACAGAGCTAGAGCAAGACGTTCCTTAGGTATTAGGAGTTTTCACCAGTGCTGATCTTGAGAGTGAATTGGGATTTGATTTAAAAACGTGTACTCTTGTATTAAGAAAAGGTTTATATCGCTTATTATTTAACAGAATATTAGAAAATTGTTGGGTGATTTATACTTTTAAGCACAATCCATTTAGAGCCTTTAAAATGAACATAGATTGAGATTTCTGAAAACACTGTTCTGTAAAAACAATTTCAGATTGATAGTATGTGGGAAGGGCAGCAGGTTGTTGTTTCTTGGTGCGAATCCAGTGAGATAGGCTCTTCTCCATTGTACGTTAGCTGAAAATTTTAGTACCATCGTCTGGCCGTATTTGAAACCCGACAGTTGTGCTGTCAGTGACTTGCGGGTGGTGCCAGTTTCTCTTTTTGGTAGGATGCGAACAGTTTCTTCTGGAGAGTAAAACGCAGTGTGTTCAGATAGTCTCAGAGACATTTGTGGGGTCTAAGATGGTGTCTCATCTTGAATACAGCTACTTCCTTTGGGCGTTCTAGGTGCGGCTCTTGTCTACTCCACAGGAGTGTGTTCGGGTTCTGTCCGTGCTCACTCTTGGTTGTTTGTCTTGGAACCACCCACTGTGCATTTCAGCCAGTGACCAGGCACACTGGGAAGTTCAGCTTTCTGCGTAGGATCACATGTCCTTGTTACTTGGTGATGTCTGCAGGAACCCTTCTTTCTCTTGAATTGTCTTTAGCCAGCTTGTCTGCTTCCCTCCATATGCCCTTCAGGGGACGCCTGCCTGCTGACATGCCCCTTCCATTTCCTACAAAGCTGGGGAGTCACCTGTTTAATTCAAGGGATGGACTGATGGAGAAACAAGTTCTAATGTGATTGCTGATAAAGCTCTTGTGTTGAGTTGAATGGTTCACACTTTTGTTGCTTTCTATTGCCGTAAAAATGGTTCAAGTTTCGCATGATTTCAGCCCCCTTACTGCTGCTGAGCTGCGCTGTGTGAGCATATGCACGTTGTTTTTAAGAAGACTTTTCTTTCGTGCTCATTTTAAGTAGCACTAATTATCAGGGCGCTTGGATTTGAAGCAGAGCTATGTCACTAAGCTCAGCGACCGGGCTAGCGTACTGCACTCCGTCCTCATGAACACAGGGGAGGGCACATTCTGTGTTTGTGCTGGGTGCTCTCTGCTTAGTCGGGCAATAGCCGTAGTAAAATCTGCCAAAATAATTAAGCATGAGCGCTGAAGATGAAAAGTGCTTGTAAAAACCCAAAGCTATATGAGAAAAACTTACTTTCTCTCTAACGGCTGTCAGGATGGAGAATACTTGCAGGCTTGTGGGCAGCACGGGCTCCAAGAGCAGGAAGACTGTGTTGCTGAAGATGAATTAAATGAGATCACTGACCGCCAGGTTGCTCCTGAACCGGAAGAGGTATTTGCTCGTCTTTTAAAAAGAGCCCCAAATTTTGGTGTTTTTTTTTTCCTTCCAGATTTAAAATGAGCCATCTTTTTGGCATTAGTGAAAAGTTGATAGATACATCTCTTCTTTGAACGATGAGTGTAGTGAAAAGCCTGACCTTTCTCAAGTCTTTTGGGTGGTGAGTTCTGGTGAGCTGTGATTTCTTTCCATTTAGCTGTTTGCCCTTTAAGTGTTAGAATATTTTAAATGTTTGAGGGGGGTGTGGGTAGAGATCTTTAAAAAATGTGATGTATGTGTTAGTGCTTTGAAAGGGGTGCTGTAATCGTTTTAAATTAGTTCACGTTCGTTAGTCAGAACCATTATGGAAAGAATACTTCTGGGTCCCCCGTGTTTAGGTGCTGTCTCAGGTGCTGAAGAAACAAGGATGGTTGGGAAGCTTGGTCCCTGTGCTCAACGTGTAGCTTAATACGTGGGAGGGAAGGAATGTGGGCAGATTCGTGTGATGTAAACATAGAAGTGAAACTTCCCAGCAGAGGCTCAGACCCCTGCTTCACAAGCTCACAGACAGATGGGCCCTCTGGTTGCTGAGGGTGTCTTGGAGCGAGTTGGGAAAGTGGGTGGGCAGGCGTTGAGGCTTTACAGAAGAAGTAACCCATGGAGTAGTCTGAAAAATGGATGTCATTTGGGTGAATAGAGGTGGCATAAGGCATTGGGTTTCATAGCTTCTGTGTTCCAACCTTAGAACTTGTCCTGTGGGCCAAGCACGTAAGCCACAAAATCATTCTGTAGCCTTAGGACCTGTTGGTTTTAAAACTTTTTTTCCTTATTAATGCTTTTTTTCCTTAGTTATTTTCCTTAATACTCTTTCCCCTCCTTTTCCCAAAAGATCACGAAAAGTGATATTTCCCTGGCTTAAGTCATTTACTTTAGGTCTTATGCCAGTGCTTTAGAAACTCAATATATAAAACATTGTATTTACCCTTTCTTTTCCCTGACACAGCGCTGT